TTCTTCTGCAACTCATCCAACACCGCCCTTCCGCCGGCGTGGATGCAGAAGTGCTCGAAGGCCAGCTTGAAGTTCGGAATGTACGGCTTCACCCTCGACATCTTCAACAGCTTTCTCCGAACCAGTGACAGGAAAAACATCAACTGCTCCGAGTAAGGCAGAACCATCGGACCCAAGGTTGTGATGTTTGTCTTCAGAGCATCCCCTGCCACAGCCATTAGCTCCCGCGCCAAACACACCCCCACTTTTCCGGTATCGTCCTCTTTCTGATAGACGCAGTTGTAGTTCTTGTCGTCGGCGCCCTTGTGGGTTCTGACAGTGTGGAGCAGCTGGTACTTAGATCGCGACCGATCAGAAGGCTTGTTGGAGAGGAGGACGGCGGCGCCGCCCATTCGGAAAATGCAGTTGCAGAGGAGCATGGAGCGATCGTTGCCGAAGTACCAGTTGAGGGTTATGTTCTCCATGCTGAGCAACAGGGCGTAGGAATTGGGGTTGGCTTTGAGAAGGTCTTTGGCCAGGTCAACGGAAATAAGTCCGGCACTGCATCCCATGCCGCCGAGGTTGTAGCTCTTGATGTTGCTCCTCAGCTTGTAGTGGTTCACAATCATGGCGGAGAGAGAAGGGGTGGGGTTGAACAAACTACAATTCACCACCAGGATGTCAATATCCTTAGGCTCCAGGCCGGTTTTCGCGAAAAGCGCGTCCAACGCGCCGAACATCACCGCTTCTGCCTCCAAGCGCGCCTCGCTCATGCAGAGATTGGGCGGGCGGGAAGTGATTCCTCTGGGAAGGTAAGTCTCGTCGCCAAGACCCGCTCTTGTCGAAATCTTCCTTTGGAATTGAAGAGACTCTTCCTCGAACCCCCCACTCTCTTCTGTCATCTTCAGGAAGGACTCCACCGAGATTTTCCGCTCCTTCTCCGGCTTGTAGCAAGCGAAGTCCACCAGATACACCGCGCCCGAGCGCTTCCAGCGGTGGAGAGCGGCGAGGGAAAGGAGCGCAGCGGATGCCGCCGCCACGGTCTCGGCGTCTAGCTGGTGGGAGTAGAGTTTAGAGAGTTTGAGACCGGTGAGGGAGAAGCAGAGAGGAAGGGTGACTGCCAACATCACAATGCTGGCTGCGTTGCATGAGTAACCGTATCCCAATCCCAACTTCACGTACTTTAACTTCACCGACTGAAGGAAGTCCGGGAGTCGGCGGCGGATTTTGATGACGACGGAAGAGGAGTCCTTGAAGTCCATCTCCGCCGTCAATCTCTCCCTGTCCATGTCTATGCTATCGCCACCCATAGTTTTTATCGTGTTGTGAAATTTTGATGTGGAAGCGGTGGGTTTTGGTTGGCTTATAAAGCAGAGACTAGAAGGGTGTGGCGTTAGGAGGAAGCTGAACCATTATTACACTTTGGGAAAAAACCAAAAACCAAATCCTTAAACAGTCATCAACAAACATGTTAAGCCAATGTCATAACAGTAGCATCACTTGGTAATTAATCTTATGGACCGGTAGTTCTGAAAATTGTTAGATATATAGCTCAACAACTTTCTCAAACCAAACTCTCTTTTAAAACCAATATATCTTGTGTGCTGCTCATTTTAACTTTAACCTGAGTTTTCCTAATAAATATTTCTACTAATAGCAAGCACTATATTCTAGCGTAATTTGACTTTCTGAGATATTCTATAAACAAACCGGGCTGTCATCGCGTGTGTGTCTCTTCTGCCCTTTTTCCATTTGTTTTTATAAAATAAAACGTTTGGAGTATGCTTGTGAAACAAATTTTGGGGTCTCAACACGTAAATGTGTAGCAAGACAAGAGAGAAAAGAAAGAAAAACGAAATTGGTCTCTATTTTTGGGTGCAGATATTGTTGTTTTGGACAGTTCAGGAGATGGTGAGATTTGGAAAAGATTGATGGAAGGCTGGTAGTCGTTGGTGGCTGGTCATCATGGAACAATTAATGGTTTTGTGCTAACTTGTCAAAACCTCAACCCCATCTTAAAACTTCAAAATAAACATAACTTTACTCAAATAAATTCAAACCATGATCTGCCATTATCTACTTAAGTTTTTTCTGTATCTATCTCAGTTAAAAGCAAGGTTTTGGAGCTTGGTTTTCAGGTAGATAATTTCTTTGTTGTGTGAGCGTTTTTCTTTTCCTAAAATACTATAATTGGATCGTGCATTCAAACCGGGAGAAAGAAAGGTAAGGAACAGTGACAGAAATCGAAAGTAGCCAAAGCCAGAAGTGGGAGTTATAAGTTTGGTGATGGACGGTGGATTTCAGGAACTGTTTCACTTTTTGTGTTGAAACGAGCCATTATCTGTATCTAAGTTGGTAGAGAAGTTGTTTAGGCCAACAAAAGAAAATCGAAATGACGTAATTAATCAGCCCATAACTGTGAAATTTTGGAATGCAATAGTAGTAAAAGACAACAACAGTGCATTCATACAGTAGAGAGTGTTGTTCGTTAGTTTCTATGTTGCCGGTTTTAATCAGTTTAATTTTACCTTCTTTGTATGTTCTGTGGTTGAAATTTCTGACACACCATCAATGTCTTTTGGTAAATAATTGACCCCAACATTATGGCTACGAATGATTTAGTGGTCATTGGATACTGAAGATCCATTTGTTTTTTACACTTCCTGTTTCAAACAGATCCTTCCTTATCCATTGGAAAACTATGACCATATCAAAACGTGGATTACATGCTACAGCCATACATAAACGGTGCATGTAGTTCACCGACCTTGTTTTTATTGTTTTTATTTGGTCGACAAGAAAGCATATACTTTGGAGTTGCTGGTCAACTGATTTTAAAATAGGTGAAATTGCAAGCACAAATGTAATAAATTTTGATCATGTTATAAAATCTATAATTAAAAAAGATATTATAAAAGAAAGGTTTTAATTTGACGTGTATGATTTGTACATGGACGAAAAGAACTTATGCTTGAAAGTGGGGGGTTAGTTGGAGGAGTATGACCCTCTTGAATGGAGCAACTTGATAATGGTCCCAATAACATAAATGCAATACTACAAAAAAGGCATATAAACATATGGCATTGGATTTGTTTACTGAGTTTCAAGTGAGATTAGAACTTTTGGGTCACAATGTCCATAGCTCCTTTGTCCATGAATCATCTTTCTCCAACTACAAACGAATTCAATCAATGTGTTTGAAAATAATGGCAATCATAATCATGAACCACACGGCTTCACTTCCTCAATTCATTTAAGTGCAACAATATTTTTTTAATCACTTTCTGGTTAGCAAGTGAAAGTGAATCCACTTGTCATTATTTGGAGTAAAAATAGCTCATCCATTTTTATATAATATAATATAATATAATTAATATAATATAATATGAAGAGATTGATTAGTTTCACCAAAAGTTAACATCAATTATAATTAAGAAGTGATACTATAACAAGTGAAAATAAAAGTAAAGAGATATACAATTATGGAAAGAAATAAATTATCTAAATTATTCAAACTTTATCCAACCATATTATAATGTTAAAAGAACTCAAATTCAAAGTATTAACTTATAAAATTAAAACTAAAAAATAATTATAATGAAAATGATAAAAAAAATACTTTATAGGATTATGAATATTCTTATTTTTGACTCTGATCGGAATAGATTAAATAAATCAAGATTCCTTTAATTCAAATTAAAAAAGAAAACAACTAACTTTTTTCAATCCAATCAACTCAACTCAAATGTGTGATTGTTGCAAGATGCATCATTTGTCCTTTAATATAAATTAAGTAAGCTAAGTCACAATTAAATGATGATGTTTGAGATGTTGTGCTCTTAAATAGAAATATTTATTTATGTGTTGATTATGAAATATAACCTTTAACTTAATAATAAATGTCTAATTTAACAATTGATGTTAAAGTCAGGATAAAAAATGTCATTCCCAATTAAAACAATTGTTAAAGAGAAAAATTATTATAAATTACATATTATGTTGTCAGTATGATTTATAATTATTGATTTAGTAATAAAATGATTTAGTAATAATTATATTTTAAGTAGTAGTGCTCGCTTAGTTAATGTTAGACATCAACCAAGTTAAACAACTTTAAGTCAATATCATCTATTTTTAATAAGTAAAAATATTAATGCGGGTGACATTAAATTCTTTTAAAAGAAATTATTTTTTTATAGAAAAATATTAACGGTGATTTATTATATTCTATAATTTTAAACATTTTATAATATGTTAATGTCAACTTGACACTAAATTTATTTATTTTTAATATTTATATTTATTTAAATTAATATTTTAATTCAAAATTTTATTTTTAAAAACGAAGAAAATGTTGTAATCCGTTTTGATTTGACTTTAAATCAGTCGCAACACAAAATTTTTGGCTAAACACGAAGTTCTAGTTAAATTGATAACAATAGAGGAATTTTAGTCATTTTTTGGATTTTGATAAGATTTAATATTTAAACGTGATATTTCTATCATACAAAGGTATTTGTAGTTTAGTAATTTAAGAGTAATTACCAATAAAATCTATAAAGAATCAAGATATAAGATGCTGTTGAATTATTTTAAAATATTTTTAATTTCTGTTATTGTTTATTCGGATTAATCTGTAGACAAACTTAATGGAAGGACCTAATAGCAGATATTTTTATAAGGGAACAATTTGAGAATGTGGAATACCATGGTTGAATTTATAATTTATATAAAATTGCATGTATTCAAAATTAATTATAGTGTAAAATTTAGTTTACCAATCAGTCATGAAAATGATGTTTATAAATGCTCACCCAAACACAAAAAATTCTAGCCAATCCTGTTTTCGTTGTACCCGACAATAGGTGCAACCGAAAAGTGGCTACGCCAAACTTAACCAAAGTTTAAGGTTTTTTCTATTAATTTTACTAAGAAACAAGATATTTTTTTTTATAGAAATGCTAACATAAAAAAATTATGAATATGTCAGTAATTATGATTTTTAACAAATATTAATTAATATTAAAAAACATTACTAAAAATGTCAAGAAGATATTGCAAACTTTTATGGTTAGAATTATGTGCAGTAGTTTAATACAACAGATAGCTAAAATCTAAGTGCAAGTATTACACACACTCCAAGGCCTACTTGTATTAATTTTTCCCTATTTACATTCTACTCTACACTGAAGAAACAACATCATTTGACCATATACACACTATTTTTCTCTCATATCCAACACCCAACCAGACACTTCCAAAGATTTTGCAAATCACTGGGTGTTCCATGAACCACAGGATGATAATGGCACTAGAAACAGAACATAACAAATCATTGAAACAGTGACCCTATTCAAGAGCTTGCTGTGGATAAAATGTTACATGATCAAAACGTTCTCTTTCAAGATACTTTAAAGCTTCATTTTTTTTCTTCTGTATGCCAGAAAATATCTTGCAACCCTGATGAGAAGATTTTGTAGAACTGCATGTAAACCAGAGAGGGATGTCATCATAATATATTACAAGAAAAAATGAAAACAGACAGAAAAAAAGATGTAGTCTTTAGTAGCTTTCGTTTGTTAATGGAACTAAAAGTATAGGTTCAAGCAGAGAAAAGGGACAGGAAAAAGGCTTCAGCTTTGGTAAGAAACCCAAATAATAAGTTGAATTTGGATTCCAGATTTTGAAAAATTGGGTCTTGAATTCTGGATCCGAAGCAAAGAGTAGGAACTTTCACATGCCTTATGAAACTCAAGTGTATCACCCCCTGTCTTTCGAAGTTCCACCATGTGCACTGAGGGAGCCACTTCAAAAACCTGACGCCAAAGAAAACCAGTGTTAGCAATCAATTTCGGTCAGAGAATCTTGGAAAGAAGCCAACGAAAATGTATTGCTTCATATGTTCTTCTGACACAGTAATTGTGATCAAAAGACTAAAATTTATGTTCGAGATCATATTAAATGCTATAGTTAGAGAGGTGTATCATACTAATTCAATGAGAATATAACTCATCAAAACGAAAGAAGTTATTGGGGGAGACAATTTTTTGTACTGACTTGCCATCATTTCATCAGGGACAAGAAAAAGGGACAGATAATTTGTCGTGTGACCACAAATAAGAAAGAGAAAAAAGAAGACTTTATCATAAACAAATGTTTCAGTACCTCAGTAGCCATTGAAAGGTGACCCTTCCTTCCGTTCTGGTCACCTTGCAGCTTCATCTGCAGTATTTAGATATGCGTAAGAAACAATACTCTACAGACCAATGTCCAATGCATACCAAAATTTAAGAGAATCAATCACCTTTACCTTATAATTTTGGATTTGTACATTAAATCCCAGCGGCTTGGCTGCTTCTTCAATTTTGTGCATAATTTCAATTGCAGGGCACTGTGAAGTAAAACAGGTTTCTTGCTTTACTTCATCCTACAGTGTCGAGATACATAAAACAGAGAAACAACAAGCATCAAGCAGAAGGAATAAATATAAATATAATCATTTGATATAATGAGCAGGCTACTACATTGAATTTAGATCTGATTAAGAAATACAACACAAATTGATTCAAAGACCATAGTCCACAAATGATCACAGGTTGTTAGTTAAATTTCATGGATATTGACAGCTTATGATTTTAAAACAACATTAAAAAAAAACTATGAGATATGCATGAAAACGTCAACATGATCAAAGAACAAATCATTCACCTACCGTTTGCATCTCGAACAAACTGTCAAGATTGAAACTTTGTGACCTAGAAATGAGCTCAAAAGCATTCATGTAGACGGGTTTCACTTTTCTTTCTGTCACTAGATTTTTCTACAAACCAAAGTGAATGAATAAACAACAGAATTCCCACCGTGGATGAAAGAAGTTGACTACAAACGTTGACCAAAAATCAGTACATTAGACTCGTTGAAAGCGAAGGCTACATCATCCATGCTTAGGTCCTCTTCCTCAGTAAAAGATGTTGGCTTGTATCCTTTCTTGAACCACTCGTCTTTTAAGAGCTCAGGAATTTTTATCCTCTGCAAAAACGCAAAGACAAGAACTTGAAGGGTAAATTACAGAAGCAATCAGCCACAAACAAAATCAACAGTAATGATCCAATATGAAATGAGGCAAACATTCAAAGCTAACCGTTTGAGGATTTGGGTCTAGAATGCGTTTCAGCAGTGTCTTTGCCTGTGGTGGAAACCATGATGGACAAGTGAATTCTGCCTTGATAATCTGAAATGTAGTAGTATTATAGATTAGGACTTGTATAAAGAACGATAAATTCTCATGCCATAGGTAATAAAATATTAATAGTAATAATAATAATCTAAAATGACTTACTTTCTTGAACAGAGCCATATGAGTTGGCGCATCAAAAGGCATGAACCCAGCCATAAGTACAAAGAGAATGACTCCGCAAGACCAAATATCAGATGTAGAACCAACATAGCCTTTATTATGAATCACCTGATGCAAATGGCACATGACATACCATTTAATGAAAGTTTCAAGGACTAAAGACCAATGTAGTTTACAATGTGTGTGAAGTAGATACCTCAGGAGCAACATAATTTGGGGTTCCACATGCAGTGCGGAGCAGTTCATCCTCCTGCATTACGTAAGAATTTGAAGAAAGTCAGGCCTAAGGTCACATGCAAATGAATCCTGCATCAATCCAATAAGGAAAAAATTATCTTACTTTCTGCGTGTATGTACTCAACCCAAAATCTGAAACTTTAAGAACACTATTCGAGTCCAGAAGAAGATTCTCAGGCTGCAAAATACAATGAAGATGGCCATAAAGAAATTGAATCTTTATCAATTTTATCAATCTATATTTAAAAGTAATGGTGCTGGGAGAGAGAAGATCAGGGAAGTTGAAAGACCTTCAAATCTCTGTGATACACGCCTCTACTATGGCAGTAGTCAACAGCATTAATAAGTTGTTGGAAATAATTTCTAGCTTCATCTTCTTCAAGTTTCCCCTTTGCAGCCTGGAAATCGAAGAAGCATTCCGAGAATTGTATGTACTCAGATGCAAGAATATTAACAAAACAAAATGAAAAGAGAAATAACAAAACATAAGACTTACTATTTTGTCAAATAGCTCTCCTCCATCAAGTAACTCCATAACAATGTAAATCTTTGTTTTGCTCGCCATCACCTATCCTTTAATAAAGGACATATATTGACTGAATAAAGTGAATGCATGCAGTGGATTCAAAGAATGAGATAACATTAGTTACATTATATCCACCATTTGCAACTGATACGTAATCTAGGTAATTATACAATATATGCCTATCTATATATCTTTTGACATCAGATCAAAGTTTCAAGCATGATAAAACTCCAATCAGAAAGTTAGTTTCATAAAAAGAGTTTTGCAGAAGAGTCAAAAACGTTGATTAAAAGAAATAAAGAAAGTGGTGCAGTGGTTCAAAAGAGACTAAATCTCCCTCAGGACCATGCAATGTTTTTTATGAATTAACGTTGAACAGTTTTTCCACTAAACCAGATCAGTTCTGGAAGTTCTTAGTGAGCTTAACAATTTAGAATCCGATTTTCAAACCATCAATTATTTCACAGGCTTGTCTAAATCGGTGATGAACTTGTGTCAGCATGGTCGTAATGATGATTCCATCTAACTTTGAAATTACAGAAAAAGTTTGAAGCTTTGTGCTATATCGGCAGTATCACGTGTAGAGTATATATGTTTCATAGGATAGTGGGATACTTTTTGTTCTTTTTGTATTCATGCACATGCTATTTAGAGTGACCATATCCTAGTATTTTTTAAGTACCTTACTAGAATTTCTTATATTATATTATTTATCAGAAACATTAGAAACACGTTCTTTTACGAAAAAGATAAGATTAAAAAAGATAAGATTAATTTTGAATGAAAATAGATGTTGAAAGAGATAATATATGAAGAAGTGGTATGGTAGGAACCTCAAATATTTTAGTAACATTTGGGTGATCGATGAGTCTCATGGTGGATATTTCTCGCTGCAGCTGTTCCATCATGTTGTGGCGGAGGACATGTTTGCGGTCGAGGATTTTGATGGCAACGTTGTTGCCGTTGTTGACATCTCTGGCGAACTTCACCTTCGCAAAGCTTCCTTCTCCAATGGTTTTTCCCAGCTCGTATTTCCCAACCACGACACCACCTTTTGCTACCTTGAAACTCATTTTTCCTTCTTCCTATGTTGGTTTCTTATCCGTTTCCTCATCTGGTATATATGTGTGTACATGAAGCTCCTACATGTTTAATCACTCGCTTGAAACTTGAAATGATTGTGGTAGGTTTTCTCTTAATGGTGAGAAGCTGAGAGTACCAATGGGGAGCAAGGAAAGGAGATATGTATGGGAAAAAGCGAAAAGTGCAACAGGTCCCACACGACAGCCTGTGTCACTCATTCATTCGATCTGGTTTTTCCCTTAATGCCCTAGTTCCACGTTTGAAACTCTGTTGGCGGGTTTCGTTTAACAAATTAAATTAAATTAGAAATAAAAAAATTTCACGTAGCTTTTAAGTTATTTGGCATAATTATGAGAAGAAAAATTAAAATTGATGTTTGGTGAAAATTATGATGTCGGCACACACCATTAAGTAACTAATAATAAAATGACTAAATTAATTTATGGTATGTTATAAGTTTAAAAAGATAACACATTTTATACTAAAATATTTATGGGCAGTCTCACGTCAATACGAGAAGATTTTGATTTGTCAGAATTTAAGGAAGAAAAGAATGAAGTTCATAAATGTCTCATGATTGGCACAATGTTTGAGTAATCATATGATACATTTGATAAGTAAATTTTAATGATTTACTAAAAAGTTTACTAAAAGGTTAAAGAATGTTTGATGATGTTTGGTGGCATTAGAAAGGAAGAATAATTGAAGTTAGTACAATAAGTATGGAACATTAACTTGTAAATTATGTTTTTGTTGACGCATTAAATAAATTGATATAAGATTGAATTAGTTGAGTTATCAACTCATAATATTGCTTGATTTTTGGAAGATTGTTCTTTAATTAACTTTTGGAAGGAATCTTGGTGCTAGATTTGTCTATTGATGCTTTCGATATCCTTAGCTCTATCTACAATAACACTTTTGTCTATGTGAAATGATAAGTTGAATATTACTAGTGTTATTTCAATTTTTTTTTTTTTACAAAAGAAAGTTTTTTGTATTACAAGTTGGCAATCTCCAGTGTGAACTTGTATCGAAGTCGAGTTTTGATGGTATTTTCTTTTTTAAAGAAGCTTTGTTGAAAATAAGACTTTTTTTTTTATTCTTTAAATTTGAGTTTTTCTTCTCTTTTGGGTCTAAAGTCATTATAGACTCCATATGGACGGTTTCTTAAAGAAGAAAATGATTTATGAAAATTTGTAATTGTGTTTTTATGTTATTTCTGGGTAAGGATGTAGAAAATGCTCATAGTCTTTCGCTTACCCTATTGATACATATTATATTATATATGAAGCATTTGGAAAATGAGAAACCTTAACTAGTTTGATAAATTTTGTTTTTGGCTGTGTTTTCCCGTGTTAAATTTAAAGTTACTTTCTTTTTTTAAGTGTCGCTTCAACAAATATTGTGGTTGGCTCTACTCTTTTGGATGAGGTTTTTGGTATTATTATTTTTGGAAAATGTGGACAAATTAGGTTGGAGGATTCTTTGGTTAGAATGCAACTTCTTTTAGTCTTGATTGTTTTTATAATTACAAGAAAAAAGTATTTTATTTTGTACTCTAATGTGACATTTTTAAACATGTATTATGTATATAAAAATTTATTTAAATTTAAAATATAATAATTAAAAAGGTGTATTTTCAATATATATAATTATAAATATAGTTATAGATTACTAGGGAAGTATACGATTTAAGTATAGAAGTTAAGAGACAATGTTACAAGTCACCCTACAATTTAATAACTGAAAAGTAATTTATATATATATATATATATATATATATATATATATATATGAAAAAACACTAACAAATATGATAATAAAAAAGATGTAATAAATATATATAAAATTATAGTATATATGTTTGTCATTTGCATCTAAGCTTTCAGAAAAATATCTCTGATAAAAAAAAGTGTAGTGAATAGTCTTCCTGACAAGTTGCAAATATCTCTGTCCTTTCTGAGAACTTTTTGTAGTTATCCATGCACAGAAATCCATAAAATATTTAACATTTAACATTGCCGTAGATAGTGTTCATGTTGTTGGAAGTTTTTGAGAAACCATTACTTTTCACCTTTGTTACTGTAAGGATATGTACCTCTTTGATTCTTTTATATAAAAATAAATTACATATATATATATATATATATATATATATATATATATATTCTGAAATAATATTAAAACTGCAAAACACCATGTTAACAAAATTTAAATTTGAAAGTAAACTCTAAAAAAGTTAAATTCTTTTATGTATCTTTTTAATGTTTTTTTAACAATTTTAAGATATTTCTAATCTTTTAGAAGACTTCACATTTAAGACAAGAATAAATTATGAAAATTAAAGAATTAAACAAATTTGAAGATTCTTAACAATATAATAATATGTTATAATACGTAATAATAGCATAATAATATCAATATAATAACGATACAAAATTATTATATAAAAATTTAAATAATTGAATAATGACATAGTTGAATTAATAGTATTAGAGATATTTTGATATTTTCTTTCAATTTTTTTATGATTTTCTATGTATTTTTTTAAAATTCAAATATATTTTTCTCTTATAAAATACCTAAGTTCTTTTTATGTTCTTTTCTGCTTGTGTTTTAAGGAATATTTTTGCTTCTATTTTATTTTTCTTATTTCTGTCTTTTTAGTTTTTCAAGATTTAACACATGATTAGCACATTCATTCGAATGAAAATTCATTTCTATTATAACTTTAATTTTCGAAAGCCTTAATTATTATAGTTAGATTTATACGATGACGATATTATTACAGGAAATAATTTTAATTTTCGAAAGCCTTAATTATTATAGCTAGATTTATACGATGACGATATTATTACAGATGAAGAACAAGTTTGGTTTTATAGATAAATTTATGCCTTGACCAATAAATTAGAATATTAATCCTAGATAGGACCAAATTGATGCAACGTTTTTATGCATGAATACGGAGTGACCATAAGCAGATTGAGGGATAAATCTATATCTATAAAATCAAACTTATTTTCTTATGTAATGACATCGTCATTATGCAAACTCAACCATAATAATTAGGACCTTTTGAGAATTAAAGAAATCTTTTATTGAAAGTATGAAAACTTAATTATTTTATAATAGAGAAATAGAGTTCAATATAAAAAAAAACAAGCAATAAAAAATCATAAGAGAAAACTTAATAAAAAACTTAATAGAAAATAATAAAATATCAAATATATCTTTAAAACATAAATTAAATAATTAAATATGAAAAACAATATTTCATTCAAAATTACAATACATTAATGTCAAATTGAAGATAATACAAATTTTGGAAATTAATTTTCTTTTGACAATTTTAACAATATAATAATATATTATAATAAATAATAAAATTTAACATTAATACAATAACATAATAATACCAGTATAATTGTATAATTGTATTTGCCGATGGCTATTGATAAAACTATCATGGCCAATATTAACATTTTTATATCATGCCCAAAAATGAAGGTGTTAGTGATTTGGAAAAGGAAATTTTTTAATAATTTTTTTTTATAATATTTTTACAATTATCTATGTGATAACTTGTGATTAGTCCGTTTCAAATATACAAACCAATAAAATAATGACATATAGTTTATTGTAAAAAAAATTATTAACACATCATAATATTTGAAAAACACCCAACTTTACGAAGTTTATTGCTTGTAGAGGTAATTTTAAAGTTAGTGTTATATATTATCTTGGACTTTTAATTTTAAACTTTGATCTATACAGAGAGAAACTTTTAACAAAAAAAATTACTAACTACTCAAAATTGATAATTGACATTTTTATTTTTATCTTTTCATTTCTATTTTTATTGTTATCTTTTTATTGGATTCATCTATTTAAATTTTCTTAAAATTCTTTAAGAAATTAATTGAGTCTTTGTGTTGGTTTTTAGATGTTTTCATATTAAAGACAGAGAGTGTTCTATATATAAAAACCATTATAAAACTACTTTGAAATCAATTTATTCTATTTTCTTTTGATGCTTAAAAAGTTTAACCTAAAACATTTAAATTGAAATAATGTACGATCGATAGAAATAAAAATGAATATACAAAATTTGATTTACTTTTGAGTTATATTAAGTTATTAAATTTTCCAAAGCAACTATCTAATAGAAATCTAATCTGAATCGCAAACTGAAGTGTTTGCAGAAAACCATGCAAAGAAGAAGAAAGCATGAAAGCGAAAAGCACATATATTGGGATTAAGATATCATTACAAAACCATTAGATTTATTGTATAGAGACATAAGTCGACATTATTTATAGGTTTGTAGAACAAGAAAATACGTAGTAGATCATGGTTGTTGCCGACCTTAATTATATGAAATACAGATAACTAATACAGACGGCGACCTTTGAAGCCATCCATGATAATGCCTCCATTACCATAACCGCTGAAAGCACCAGGATTATAAATCTGTTGTTCTTTGTAGTGCTCTGGGTTATGCCTGCTACGACGATCATTATTTTTTGGCTCTTTGCCTGCTTTCTCACCGTGCATCATTTTCTTCACACTCTGCATAAAGTCTACCATTATGATCTTCTCTCAAATTATTTTCTTGATAATTGCCTTAACGTTACCAACCAATTAGGGCAAATATATAGATGCAACCAACCAGAGGAATCCAATTCCTTTCTCGTTTATTCAAAGTTATGGCCATTTCTCGTTTACAGTTTGTTCCTGAATTAACTAGATGGAGAATATATCCATCTTCAACTGTTGCAAAGGAGAATATGTCCATTTCGAATTATACTCTTTGCAAAATCTGTGTTTAGACTGTTTCTTTACCGTCATGTAAAAGTAATGATATCTTAAAAAGAAGATATCAACTAAAAAGTCAGTTTTGCAGTGAATTTGCAGAAGAGAAGTTCCCTGCACTTACAAAGGTTCATTCTACACCATCAAAATTTCAAAAGTTCGAGAGTCGGTTAACAAATTTACTTAATGGGTGTTCAAACATCGGTTAAGAAATGTACTTAATTGCTGTTCGAACAACGGTTAAAAAAATTATTTAATTGAAGATTAATTTTTTAAGTAATAAAAATAATTATAATAATAATATGATAATAATACTAATAATAATAATAATACAATAATAAAATATATAAAAAAATTATAAAAATTTTAACCAATTTTGAGGATTTTTTTATAATTCTTTTAGTTTATTTTTTATTTAATAATCCTAATAAATAATAATACATCTCTTTAGGCTTAAATTCTTTTTGGACCAAAAAATGATAAGTTTGCTAAATTTTCAATGTCACCGTATTATGTTATCCTTTGATTTCTTTATAACCAAAGTCTACCGAAAAACTTAAAAGTCCATTTCTATACTAGTATATGTTGTGTCAAAATAATGTAAAAAAAATTGGTATGAAAATATCTTTTTTCTTCACATAATGCCCCATAACATCATACACAAATATTCGAAAATTTTAATTCCATTATAACTTATGTTATTTTTATTATTCAAACATATTAGGGTTTAGATAACCCTCCAAAATAATTAGGGTCTGACGTGCAGAGAATTAGAAGATTAGATTAGGGCTTAGATAACAGTCGAAAACCATTACATTTATTACATATACCATTAGAGCTGCAGCTCTGCATTATTTATGGGTATATGTATTTCCCAGTTAGTATGAAATAAAGAAACTAATAATAAGGACGACGGTAGAAGTTCCTCGTTTGGGCGTCAAAGCCACCCTGGATAGTTCCACCGTTGCAGTTACCATTAAAAGTACCACTGTTATTCAGAAACTGTTCATCGTAGTGGTTTGAGTGGTTAAACCTGTTACGGTTTCCAGCATATTGGCCACTGTTGATGGTTGCGCCGCCGAAATCCTGGCGACCGGAGGAGTGATTGTTGAATGAGTTGGAAGAACCATTGTTGGAGGCTTTGGCTGCTTCCTCAGCCTGAATCATTTCCATGATTCTCTGCATCAAGTCTGCCATTTTGATCTTCTCTCTGTAACTTACCTTTCTCTCTCAACTTATCTTCTTATTCAATTGCCTTACTGACTAGACCACATATATATACAGATGCAACCAAATTAAAGAATCCAATTCTTTCCTTCCTCCTTCAAAGTAAATTTGTCCTCAGATGAATATGATAATTGAAGAGTAGATTTTTTGATGATAAGAGTTTCAGAAAATACTCTTAATTTGAAGAATATATCCATTATGGAGTGTTGGAAAGGGTGATTGTTCTCCATGTATAATTGCTAAAGAGAATATATCCATAAGCAATTTGTGCTAAGGACGTTTGTCTCGGCCAGTTAACGTTTGACAACGACAATAATAGTATGGCGGAGTGGTGAAAGGTATTTTAGTCTTTTCCTGATATTATGGGTCTGCATTTAGTGATTATGGTGTACAGGAAGCAATAGCCCAAAAATTGGGGTCTAAGGCTACGCAACTAATCTTTGGATCCTCCCTTTGGACCAGCCCGATGGCTAAATTAAACAGGATTACCTAATCAGAATTGAAATTCGATCATTTCTTCTTGTAATATATTTTGGATTACGGAAGATATTTCTAAATTTAGAACTATGTTCTGTATATTTTGGAATACAATATTCGAAATGCATTCTAAAAAAATATTTTCAATTGTATATTTCTAAAGCTTTGTTCAGTTGAATGAATTTGAGAAGAGTGATTGAATGAATTTGAGAGGATTTGAACATAAATTTTTTGTTGTTTATATGAGTGAATTTTGGAGGTGAGTGAGAATGAATTTGAAAGTAAAGTTTTTTAGAATTAGTGTAAAATTTGATTGATGTGACAGATTAAAAAAAATTATTTCCAAATCCACTCTCACTTACCTCCAAAATCTACTTAAATAAACAACAAAAAATTTACCTTCAAATCCTCTCAAATACATTCAATCACTCTCTCCCAAATCCATTCAAGTGAACAAAGGGTAAAAGAAATTTCAAATTTAAAAATATTTTCGATATATATATACCGTTTTAATGTACTTTTTTTTAAGTTACATTTTTTATATTTTGAAAAGTATTTTTAGTTTATAATTATTTTCCAAAATATACAATTCAGAATATATTTTTTAAAATACATTCCAAATTATATGTTTTGAAATATAGTTTTGAATTCAGAATTACCTTTTAAAATAGGCACTTCCATGGATACAACAGAAGCTCCAAAATACGAATTTAAAGCTTACAATCTATTAATAATATGACAGATTAATTATTTAGAGAAGCATTAGTGTAACCACTGGCACTAATATTGAAAATTTATTCGGTATTTCACTAGAAATTATAATCTTATTCTTAATGGTTTACATACGCATATTCTTTTGAGTTACACTCAAATTTATATATTAATCAAATAACTAAATGTACAATTAACTTTTTATAAAAATTAAAATTACATATTAATAAAATTATAGAGGCTGAAAATAAATTTAAATCTAATCAAATTGTTACTATGATATATCACAATATAAAAGTGTAGATTAAAAAACTCTTAGATTTTTTGCTTAAGGTTAAAGTAAATTCAATAGATAAACGCTAGTTATATATGAAACTTATTACTCAAACGTTCAACTCCATCCCCACTTTTTTGTTTTAAGTGGATTTTAAGAAAGAGAAATAAAAATAAAATAAAATAAATGAAAACAAATAAAAGGAATAAAAAAGATGATGAAAAAGCTCATAGAGATGTGAATAAAAAGACCAATAATAAGAGATCTAAAAAGAAAATAGAAATAAAAGAGAGAAAAATTTCATATGTAATAAATAACGTGATAAAAAAGAAAGAAAGAAAAATAGAAATAAATATATCAAAAGTCGAAAGAAACAGAACACGTATTAGCACAAAGCACACCGTGTGTGGATTATTCGTCGTAGCAGCACTAGATAATGAATATGTTCTCCACGACTTTCGGTTTATATGTTTTTTATTATTAGAAATATACGTTGGAATATTTTAGGTAGTTAATTGTTAGATTAAAAATAAGTTATAGAAAATAATAAAATTTTAATTTTTTGTACTTCTTATCTTCCATATATTTAATACCGTGGAATAACTTTTATATTATGGTGCTCCATAAAAATTGAATATATACTCCAAAGTTATAAGTACATAAATATAAAGTACTTAAAGATTAAATGAGAAACGAATAAAACTTTGAATTATATACTTCATATATTTTAGACGAACGAATAACTTTAGACCCTAATGTTCCATAAGAAATGGATTTATATCCAAAACTCTTATCCAAAGATATGAATATGTTGCCAATTTATGTTAGAAAATTATTGATATAGATTTGTGTGGTCTACCAAAAGCATTGGATTCGGTTTTCTTGCATCTATATAGTGCTGGCTTAGTTGTTGATAACGTTAAATAGAAGAAGAAGGTAGAAAGCAGTACAGAAGCAAAAGATCTGAGAATTATGTCAAACTACTACGATCGTATGGCGGCTGAAATGGCAGCGAAATGGTCGAACAACGGTACTTCAAACTCATTCAACAACCATGGCAGTGGGAACCAAAATTTCTCGAATGCAAAGATCAACAGCGGCGCATATTCAGGCGATCGGAACAGGTATAACAATTCAAAACACTACGGTGAACGTGTTATTAATAACAGTGGAACTTTCAATGGTAATGGTAATGGAGGCTTTATAGAGGGTGGCTTTAACTCCTCCACGAGTAACTACTACTATTAGTTTTATGCCTTTCATATAAGCTGCACAATCTTATGGTCTAATGTGTTATGCTCTGTTGCCAATAAATGTAATGCTTTTCCAGTTATATATCACTAAACTTGTAAAGCTCGTCCTCAATAATAAAGACCTTTACGTTGCAGTTTATTTCTCCAATTTTTTTTCTTTTTTCTGTGTTAGAGATGTCCAAGATAAAATAAAAGAAATGAATGCTTTTTAATTTATGTGGGTCTATCGAGGAGAAAGTTTTTTGTGTATTACATAAGTAACAATGACATTGGAGCTAACACAAACAAGAATAATATCTGAACTAATTATAGATCTAACACCACTTTTTATTCAAAATCTTAAGATAATGGTTAATGGATCTTTTACCTTTATATACTGCTTCTCTTTCTTATTTTTATCCAACGTGGAACTTTCACTGAGATTATATTCTTAAGCGTGTGAAAATATATATACTTTTTTACTCTTATATCAATTCTGAGTTTTAATTGGCTGTTTATTTATTGACTAAGTACTTAATATGATTTCTTTTAATAAACTTAATCCATCATGATACAAATTTGAGTTAAGATATCACACATTTATTAATCTGATTCAAATTTGAGGTTCTTCGTTATGAAATTAAAATAATTAATAATAACTTGCATATGGTTCCAATTTCTAGAGTAATTAATATAACTATTTAAGGAGATTAAATTTCTAAAAAGTTTGTCATTTAAGTTTTCTTTTAGTATTTTTTTTCTTTTTTATCTATACCTGTATATAAAAATAATATATATTTAGTGTACACTTCTCCTTTTTCTTATTTTACTGTTAATAATATAATTCTTAACTTATTTATTAAATAAAATTATAAAAATGTCATCAATTTTAATTTCACTTTCTTTTTTATTCATTCATTCACCGGATTTTTATTTATTCATCTTTTTTATTTATTTCAATATTCACTTATAGGTATTTTTACTATTCCTATTATATTTGTTTTTATAAGTTATATTATTTGTTTCTTTTCTTTTAATTTTATTTTTCAGTATTGTTCACGTAAATCGAAAATATGAAAAATATTCATAGATAAAGAGAAACAGAAATTCAAAACTATAATAGAAAATGAAATTGAAAAGAAACTTTAGTGTAATTTAAGAAGAATTTAAAAATCATACATCATCATATTAAAATACATGCCAAATAATATCCAAACAAGAGGACTGTAAACAACAGAACATGAATGAGAGGTTAAAAGTTCATTATGAAATAACTATCATTGTAAGATCCATAACCAGAAGACGAAAGACAATTATGACAAAAATAGAAAAAAGAATGAACCATTGCATTTGTTATACTTTCAAATTTGAATTAAAGTTTTAATAAAAATTATTTATATTTTATTTGATAATGCTTCCTTAACTCACCTTTTCATCATCTTTATAATCTAGTTACTTTTATTAATGAAAAACTTTCAACCTATATTTTCTATTTTATTTTATGTGCTTATAATTTTGCGCTTCCAAAAATTTGTAATTTTTTCTAATAATTTCATTAATTATTCATTATTTATAAATATTTTAACATCTCATTTTATGGTTTAGAAATCAAATTAACTGAACTTAAAAAATTACAATAATAAAATATTTAAAAATACGTAAGTACAGTCACGGCAATACCTGTGTTTATGCTAGTAATTTTAAAGCAATTTAAAATTATCATTTCATCACTTTAAAATTATTAATAATTTAAAATTATCGCGAGAGCAACACATCATTTTAAAGAATATTACCTAAATATTGATTAGAACACTCCAAATGCTTTATATATATATATATATATAATCCAAATACGACAATAAAAATATAATATAATATTGAAACATGATGCTCCAACTCATTTCTAAATATATAACTATTACAAATTATTATATTTAATGTACACAAATATTATTTTCTTATTTTTCCTTCGTAATATTTTTAAGTTATAATGTAATATTCACAATAAAGATGTCAATTTAAAAAATAGTTAAAAGAATAAATCAAAACAGTGAAGAAAAACAGGAAAGAAAGCAAAATTTTAGAAAAAGTTCATATAAATTAAAACGAAGTAACTGCTCGTAGTTTAAATATAAGTTTTTAAAGTGTTTGATTTTATATAATTAAGCTTTGTATACAATACATAGATAATATATTTAAGTATTTTATTGGGTACGAAAAGTTTTATATTAGGTATGATAATATAATATTTATTGTGCATTAATATCATTCTAATCAGCTCAACAATATTTTTTAGAGGGAAGTATTCAGATATAGAAATTTGAGATT